CGTTTTTGGTATGAATATTCACTTTTGAAATTACATAAAATTTGTTTGAAATTGGTATAGATTTTTGTTTGAACATTCATTTTTTTGTATGTTTCTGGTTAAAAAATTACATAAAATTTATTTGAATTTGGTATATTGGTTATACCATGTTGGTACGATTTTAGAATTATATTTGAATGAATTTCGTATACTATTTGTCTAATAAATGACAATTAATAGTTAAAAGTGGTATTGTTTTGGTATTATAGTGACATGATTCTGCAGTGAAAAAGTGACGACTTATGATATGAAATAGGTATAATTTTGGCATGAAATAGGTATGAAGAATGTGCATAATAATTATATGAAATTTGTATACTGATTTCAGATTTTTGTTGTGTATAATAATTTGAATTATGACGGATTTTTTTAAATGTATAATGTTATATTTTGGTATGAACATTGAATTTGTTCATTATTTGTCTGACGCATTTATTTTTTGGGTATATTTTTGGTTAAAAAATAGACAATTTTTTCTTTGGAATTTGTTATTATACTACCAAGCATGTATGACAATCGATAATGTTTTGGTTACGATTTTTGGTTTGATTTGGATTTTTTTTTGGCATTATATTGTAGAATTTTGAGAATAATAATGTAATGAATTTGGTATACTGTTTATTAAAGAAATGACAATTAATATTTCTAAGTTGGAATTATTTTGGTATTCTAGTGGCATGATCCTAGTATGAATAATTGATAACTTTTGGCATGAAATAGGTAAGAAATGTGTGAATAAGAATTGTATGAAATTTGTATATTGATATAACATATGTGTTTTTACTTTTGTATTCTGTAATAACATATGAAATTGTTTTACAATAATATATGTATTTTTACTTTTGTATGAATTTTGTAAGCATAAAAATGGTATGAAATTTGTATATTGATATAACATATGTATAAAAGTTATTTGTACTTTTGTATGATATAATATTGACACAATAATTTATGATGAAACAGAAAAATATGCAATTCAAAAAGTGTCGGAGCAGAAATTATTGTAGCCTGGTTCAAAAAAAACTGTAGGGAGACCACAACTTGAATGTTGTAAATGGTTTGCTGATGTGAAATTCAAGAGGTCTAAGATTACGTGCAGTACATGTCGTCGGGAGGAACACAATAGGAAGACATGTTCAAATTACCCTTCTGAAAAAAAGACATAATTTATTTTTATTTTGATTTGGTTGTTTTATTGTGGCAAACTCATGTTTTGATTTATTTTGTCTTTTAAGTTAATGAATTATAATTTCAGAATAGTTATTATGTGTGCTAGTTACTCATTTGTGTATTCAGTGTTTTTCAAATGTATACTAAAAATATAGGTAATGTTTGTATGCGATTGATATTGACTGGAAAAATTAAGTCAAATCTTAGTATGAAATTGGTATACATTTGGTATCCAACTGACGTCCCAGTGGTAAAATTTAAAAAAAAAAACATGTAATTGAAATTTCAACTGAAATAGCCAACGTAAAACTAGTTAATATTGTATTGAATTTGTATAAATTTAGTATTGAATTGATATCCCATTGGAAAATTGAAAAATCAACATGTGGTTGAGATTTCAATCAAATTAGACAACCTAAACAAGTTAATGTTGTATTTCAATTGATATCCCACTTGAAAATGAAAAAACCAAAATGTAACTGATATTTCAACCAAATTAGACAATCTAAAACAAGTTAATGTTTTATCCAATTTATATACACTTGGTATCCAACTTGAAATTTTAGAACAAAGACAAAAAATAAAATAGTATAAAATTAGTATCCAACGGGTATAAATCAGGGAAGAATAAATCTGGTTGTAAAACAATGCATATTATATATTAGTTGTCAGAAATTGTAGCAAAAGAAATATACATCACCCAAAAATCAAAACATGTAATTAAAAGTCTAAACTGCAATAACTAATACAAGTTCTATATTTTCCTCTCTCTTCAATTTATATTCCGTATTCAAGTGTGATTTTCTTTTTACCATATTTAAGCTAAAACTTTTTTTTTTGGACCAAGTCCATTTTATTAGCAAATAAAAATTCATCAGATACAAACTTGGGTCCAAAAGTGACCCAAGTCCCAAAAACAGAAATAGCACAGCCAAAAAGACACTCCATTAGGAAACAAAAGAAGCTCCAGCCGCAATGGCTGCTTCTTCTTCTTCTTCAAACAAATCGACGGCTCCCCTGGAAAATTCAAGCACTTCGTCATTGGAAGATCCTCCTGGCGATCCGTCTACCTCGTCATAGCCGCTGGATCGATAAAGATCCAAGTATGGGTTGTAACCACCTCAACATCAAAAATTCTCACTGATGTCATGATTCAACAACCATTGAATACTTCTTCTACTTGGATGCGGACGATCTGAACCTGGGTTATTAACAAAGCTGAAATACGCCAAAAACAATCAGTGACGGAGCGGTGTAAGATGAGTATCTTGTCTTCACTTCATTTATGCAATTTGGTACTCAGTTTTTTTATTAGTCTCATCAACAGGTTGAACCCCATCAGGATTAATATCACTGTTTAAGGCGACACATCTTGGACGTTGTAACCAAACTATTTATGGCTCGGAGATCAATGGTACATCTCCTATCCCTTATATTGTTGAAGACGCTTTATCATTCTAAACCTGTTGTAATTGTTGTTCTCATCCATTGTAGCTTCTGTTTTGCACTTTCCTAATCCTCAAATTAGGTATATTTGTTTTCTCTAGTTGCAATATTGTCCTAGCCTTCTGTGATAGATCCTGAATGTTATGATATTATTGTTTCTCAATTCATGCACAATCAACAAACGATTTAGTAAAAAAATCAGCTAGGTTGTTTCCCTCTCTGAAAGTATGGACCACTTCCACTCCATGGTTCTTTATCAATTGCTTAATGAGCCTGACTTCCCAAGCGATCTTCCATGGAACCTCCCACACTCCATTTAGTGCTTTCTGAGCTAACAGAGAATCAGTTTCTATAATCAAGGGTATCAAGGTCTTCTGAATACAGTAATATATGCCCTCCTTAATTTCTATGATCTCAGCCTCCAAAATTGAATCTTTGGTAACCTCTTTAGATTCTGCATACGCCAGATCCCCCACCTCATTCCGGATACAAAAAGCTATGACCCCAATGCATGTCTCATAATCAAATGAGGCATCAGTATTGCACTTATAAACCCCAGCTGGAGGGTGAATCCATCTCACAATTTTAGTCTTTATCAGTGGTGAATACCCTTCAAGGAACTGAATAATTGTAGGCCAAGTTTTAGGAATATTCCTTAACCATGGGTATCTAAACTTGGTGAACAAATAAATGTTCATTTGAATTATATAGGGACTGCTTTAAACAGTGGCCTAACTTTAGGCACTCCATCAGCCCTCCACCAATCCTGTATTATCTGTCTAAGTTGAACAATTGGAAAGTGTAATCCTGCAACATCCCTAAACCATTTCCACAGAGTTTGAGCAATTGTACAGTTAACAAAAAGATGAGAAAATGTTTCAGGGGCATTGTTGTTACAACAACAACAATCAACATGATCCACAATCCTCCTTCTAATCAGTACTTCCCATATAGGAATTCTTCTAAACCATAATCTCCACATAAAAAATGAAATTTTGAAAGGCAAACCTTTCTCCCAAATATTTGAGATATTATCGATAGGATCTCTTCTACTTCTGCATAACTCCCAAGCTGAGCTTACTTTAAACTTTCCATCACTTCTTGGCATCCACCAGGCTATGTCTCTACCTTCAGTAATGGTAATGTTTCCCAGAACCTGGTAAATGTGATTACAAATATCATTGTTGAAATTAGTAATTAATACATTAGTCCTCCGTCCATCTTCATTAAATAATTGCCTAGCAGATTCTAAATGACTCTGATCCTGTGAAATAGACATCAAATAATGTAAGTCTCCCAGTTGTGTCCAGTTGTCAAACCACACACTGGCATGCCCTTATCTAAGTTCCCACCATATTTCTTGATAAAAAAAGTCCCTAGCTTGCAGCATAGCTTTCCAAATTAGAGAACCTCATTTCCATTCAACAACTTGTGGCCTCTGTCTTTTACAGTACTTGTTCCACATGTAATTGGACCAAAGAGAATTTGTTGTTCTGAACTTCCACCATAACTTGGCAAACAAGGCTTTAGACACATCAAATAATGATCTAAATCCTAATCCTCCTTCATTCTTAGGCAAACAAATATCACCCCAAGCTAACCAGTGAGTAGCTCTTCCCCCTTCCTTAGCATTCCATAAGAATTTTGCAAAAGTCTTATGAATATCATCAATAACACACTTGGGAGGACTAAGCACAGATAAGAGATAGACAGGAATACTCTGCAATACATGACTAATGAGAACTTCTTTGCCTCCAAAGGATAACAACTTCCCTTTCCACAACTGCAACTTGTTCTGAATCTTCTTAATAAGCTCTTTAAAATGTGATTTCTTCTTCTTTGAGTGGCTTATAGGACACCCCAAATAGGTTAATGGAAAGTTCCCTTTGCAGAAACTTGTTACCTCTTCAACAGTTTGAACAGAAGAGTGAGCAGCTTTGTTGAATAAATAAAAGAAACTCTTTTCTTTATTTATAAGCTGTCCAGATTGTTCTTCATACATTTTCAGTACATTCATAATCATTTGAAGAGATTTCCTATCATCAGCGTAGGCAAGATGATTCAACTGATCACTCCACTTAGGAAGACCATAACCCCTATAACCAACCTCTAGAAACAAACTATTCAAAGCTCTAGAAAGCACCTCAGTCGAAAGTATAAATAAAGTAGGAGATAGGGGATCTCCTTGCTTTACCCCCCTTGACTAATGGAAGAAACCATGAGTTTGCCCATTAATTAGCACATAGTACCAATTGTTAGCAATAAGTCTCCATATCATGTCTAGCATAATAGAGTTGAAGCCCATTTTCTCCATAACTTTCTGTTATATGCCTTGGCCATGTCAAGTTTGATAACCACATTGTCTGGTTTTCCCCTCAACCTGATGTCACCAATAATTTCCTGAGCCAACAATACATTTTCAGTAATATTCCTCCCCTGAATAAATCCAGATTGATTTTGGGAAATCAATCTAGGAAGAACAACCTTCAATCTATCATGTATCAATCTAGAAATGATTTTGTTTACAAAATTACTCAAACTAATAAGTCTAAGATCAGAAAAGGATTGAATCAGATCCTTTTTTGGTAATAGCATTAGATTAGTGTGAGTGATTGATTTTGGAAGTGTAGCTCCCTAAAAATATGCTATCACAATTTTAATCACATCAGGCCCAACAATATCCCAACAATGTTGATAAAAACATCCAGAAAAACCATCAGGCCCACATGAACTTTCTGCATTTAACTCAAACACCACATTTCTGATCTCTGCTTCATTAGGTAACTGAGCCATTTCTTCATTTTCTTCATGAGTAATTACATGATCAACTGCCTCACCAGTGAATTGTTTTGTAAAAAAATCAATCCCTTCTTCAGCAATGGCATTTTCTGATTCAATCCATGTACCATCGATTTTAGAAATTCCTTTCAAATTTAACCTCTTTCTTCTTCCTCTGACCAAGCTGTGAAAAAATTTAGTATTCCTATCCCCTTCTTCAAACCACTGCATCCTTGCTTTTTGTCTCCAAAATTCTTCCTCGAAGTGTTTATATTGCTTCAATTCTGCTTGAGCCTGTTGAAGGATACCCCTATGTGTGGGTGATGGATCATCTAAAAATAACTGCTCCTTTATTTTAACTATCTCCTCTCTGATGGCTAGTTGTTTAAATATATCCCCAAACTTCTCCTTGCTCCATTTTGTTAAAGCCTTCTTAGTTCTTTTATGCTTTTGCTTAAACTGCACAAAGATATCGTCTGATTCATTTGCTACCCAATTCTGTTCTACCACTTCCCTTAAGTCATCTCTCTTAGTCCAAAAGTTGAGGAACTTAAAAGGTCTTATAATAGCTCCATTGCTAACTTCACAAGAAAGCAATAGTGGAGCATGATCAGACCCAGTTCTTGTCAAATGTTGTACACCAATATTACCATAAAGATCTTCTAACATTTGGTTTACCACCACCCTATCCAGTCTTTTAAATATACAATCTCCATTTGCCCTACCATTCCACCATGTGAAAGGGTTTCCAGAAAAGTTCACATCCTCCAAACCACTAGAAGTCAAGCATTCACCAACATCCTCATACTCTTGTGGGTAAACTGGTAATCCACCAATCTTTTCTTCTTCACCCAATATCACATTAAAATCTCCTCCTACCATCCATGGAATAGTGAAATCCCGACTAATAGAGTAAATATCCCCCCATAGGAGCATCCTTTCAGTAGCAGTGCACTTAACATATATAGCAGAAGCCAGGATCTGAGCACCATCCTCTAGAGTAAGTTGTAAAGTCAATTGCTGCTCTGAATCTGATATAACACCTACATGAACATGCTCCCTTACAAACACCCAAATTTGACCATTAACATTGTAGTTAACATAATTCATCCCTAGTCTTCTTTTATATCTCTGAATATGCCTAGCATCTTGAAATGGTTCCATTAAAGCAATCAACAAAAACTTATGATGTCTGTGTAGCATTTGTACTCTGTGAAATTCCAGTTGAGTATTAACAGACCGAATATTCCAAAATAGTGCTTTGTAATTCATTTGGAACTTGATTTAACCCCTCTCTTTGTCTGAACCCTTGAAGGTATGGTGCTTGTACTATCTTCTTTGCTTTTACCTTTTCTTCTTCTGGTTAGTAACTTGGTGGATATGCCTGCCTCTTTACATACTTGTAACATGTTGGACTCATTTTCCTCCTCAAAAGATTCTTCTATTTCTTCACCACAACTTGTTTCATTAACTACGTTATCTTTGTTGTGCTCTTATGGTATCAGTTGTCCATCTTGGTGAGATACTACAACATGTAATGCTTCCATTGGTGCTGATCTGCTGACATATATAGTTGTGATTTGGTATGGATCATGACATGATGGACAATCTTCTTCAGCTATTATTTGAAAAGGCGCCTGGTATGTTGCATTTACCATCTCCCTCCCCTGCATAACAGTAGGTTCAATATCTTGGGCTAAAACAATGGCCTTTTCTTTACCCTCTTCTCCATTCATATGTTCATTATCACTAGATTTTTTATCCCTGTTTTCTCTTGCAGGGGCAATCTGATCAAGCATCCCTTGCAAGTCCCTACCATCCGACTCCAATGTAGCATTGTAAACAACCATTTCACCCTCCACTATGTGGTCTTCATTTTCTTTATCTTTCGAGAGTTGTACTAACCGATCTTCTCTTGCAAGCCCGTCATGATCTGCAATTGCATTCTCCTCTTCACTAATTCCTCCTTTAGCACTCTCCTTGCTTTCGTTGTTGTCTTTATGCTTTTTTGTTTCCTTCCCCTGTGTTGCAAATGCTTTTGTAATCCACTCTTTGGTTGTCTCTGGCTCACATGTTTTGGTTATTGTGTGTTGCTCATTTCCATTGACTCTCTCCATGTCCTTCCTTGAGATACCAGTTGAGGGGTGCGTGTTTCGTGTTTCATCCGCGACTGTAATTTCTTCATTAAGAGCTATAAAGGAATTGCTAATTCGCACGTCTGTAACACCTGCAATGTGTTCCTCTTGATTTTGCCTTGGGAAAGTTCTGTTGGTAGGATGCCATTTTTTAAAATGCCTTCCTATACGAAAAACTGGAGTGCCTAATTGATTATGGATCTCTGTGTCCCTGTTATCGTGTATTTCTGTATCCGCGTGAATAGGTTGTCTGAGTTCAGGGTGAAGCACCCTACACTCCTCTTCTGCATGACCCTGTAATTTACATTCTTTACAATAATTTGGCAATACGTCATACTGAATGTTAACCTTTTCCACCCTTGATGCATTTGTATCCTCATTCATTATCTCTATCTCAATGACCTTAGGGAGATCTGCCAACTTGGTCGGGTTTTGTTAATTGTTGTCGTATCAAGACGTAGTGGTTTCCCGACTGCTGAAGCAAGGGAGAAAATGGACTCCTTAACAAAAAATGTTGGTTTTAAATCCGGAAAGGAAATCCATGTCATTGCTTGAGTAGTTTCCTCATTTGTATTGAACTTTGCATCATAAATAAAAGGTCGCATCATATACGAGTAACCATCCTTTGACAATATATAGTAGACAGGCTTAGACATCATATTAATAAAATCATCTTCTCTGTCAAACCGTATGAGAATGTGTCTATTTTGTAACAGGCCAATCTTACAATTTCCTTCAATGTTACATTGTGTGGGAATTTGAATGCGCAATTCATCTATCTCAGGCCAACCATAAGAAAATTTGCCAACCACAGCATATTGCAAATTTTCCATGATGTTCATCCTTGCCACCTCCTTTTCAGTCCAAACTACCCTTGGTACCCCGTTGTTATAACAAACTTGTTTTGTTGGAATTTGTTCCACTGTCAATGTACTGCCTTGTACCTCCTTATTGACTTTGAACAAATTAGCATAATCTGGTACTACCTTACCATTCGTGTTGTTGCGCAATTTATGAAGATCATTCGACGAACTCGTATCCTCAATTATTCCAGCAACTGTTCTAGTGTGTTGTAATTTAGGGAAAGACCTATCTGATATTAGTAATGCCGGGTCAGCATCAAACTGACCGGCGGCCACAGCCATTCCAGAGTGATTGATCAGAAAATCTAGGGTTCAAAAAGCTATTTAAGCTAAAACTTAAGAAATCCTTATAGATTTTATGATCTCATATTATCTATATATATCAACAAATTTCAAAATTAAATATACTTATTTAACCAATAAAATAGTATTTTAGATATAGAAAAACACACCAAAAACAAGTTCAAAACTTAAGTAAAACGGTTTTTTTCTCAAGAAATCAAGTTTTAGATTAATTAAAATAAAAAACAAAATCAAATTTTCAAAATATAGAATTCTTAATTCAAAAGAAATCAGATTAAAAAAAATAATATCAAAATTTAAAATAAAAAAAAACATCAAGAAAAGCAAAAAAAATAGATTAAAGAGAGAAAATTACATGTTAAAATATACGGTGATAAATTTATTTATTTTTTAAAAATTAAAGGCCCCAATAGTCATTAATAAATAAAAGTTATTTGAATAAGTTAAAAAAATCCTTTAAAAGGTGTAATAGATAATTACAAATTGATTCTCTTTCATTAATATTATTTCTCTCACCTATTAATTATATAAAAGGAACTGCAATCAATATAATTAAATAATTAATAATATAAAAAGATTAATCATTTAATAAAATAAATTTTAATTGATTTTTTAAATAAAGTTAAATTTAATGGATATGTTATAACCCGTAATTAAACTGTTATAAGTAAGAATTTTTTTAGTAGTAGATTTAAAACTCGTAATATTGTCTCTTAAATGTGTATATGGCGTGATATTTCCTTCAATTTCAGATTTGGGAAAATTGGGCCACATTTGAATATAGGTTGTGGGCTTAAGTAATTTAATCAAGGCCTGTATATTTTAGGATGTAAAGAGTATATGATCTCTTTGGTAAACTCGAACGTTTCTTAGGCCTAAAGAAAAGGAGGATTCTCTCACTTGGATAGGCCGCACCAAGGTTGTTTTCTCTGTCAAAACAGCTTACAACTACTTAACGGATTTGGAACAGTTCAATAACCCATGACCATGGGAAGAGATGGAAAGCAAGAGCTCCTTTTAAAGTGGTTTGCTTCACTTGACTTCTTGTTTGGAAAACTTGTCTCACTCATGATAAACTTCAAAAAAAGGGTTCTAGGTGTTTTCTATGCCATCGGGAAGCTGAAACCAATGGGCATCTTTTCTTGCATTGTTCAATTACCAGACAACTATGGCAACTTTTTGCAGCATTAGCTTTTGAACCACATCTTTTGGTCTTTCCAATCGACCTTTAAAGACCAAAAGACGAGAGCATACTTTGCCTTAAACTAAAGAGTCGTTAAATTACTTGTTACACTCCCACAGTAAGTCACAGTATTAGGGAGCTCCTACATCCAGTGTTGCATCTCACAGTTGTAACATTGTTCAACAAAGGAACATGAAGGGACTTATCGGCTAAACACTAACCTGCAACCACGATCGACCTCACAAACAAAAAGCAAACAGTTGAAAAGAGTATCAACTTACAATGGGTGATCAATCAAGACAGAAAAACACATTGATGATTCCTGAATAGGCACATGCCAGGCTTAACACAAATCCCTAGTTGAATGCAGTGTTGGAAACCATCTATAGACACCAATAAGGGAAACAATAATTCCGGTGTTAAGGCAAATCATAAGTAAATTGCAACAGCTGCAAGATTGCAATGCATTTAGTTGCCACAATTTGTAATTACCAATTGCATGACAAGTCCCTAATGCATCTCTTTACATTTCATCCGATGTACATTACTAATAAGTGATAATTGTAATTAGAGATGCCATAATTGCTCATAGGCGACTCCAGAAACATTTCTACTAATTAAAAAAAACAGACAATTAATTGCAAACTTGAACACCTTCCCCTCCTCCTTAGTCCGGGCTTGGGACCGGCTGATTTAACAGGCGGAGTTACGAGGGTCACCTAAACACAAAATGTAGCAACAAATAAATCAACACTACTACAAAAGAAACCACAAGAACTACTATTGGTGCCGAAACAATGTGAGATCATATAGAACTAACAAAATAATCTTCAAATAAATGTATTCAACATAAACACAAAGAAAAGAGTACACAACTTGGAAATGAAGATAGGGAGGAACAGACTGGGAAGTGACCTCCAAGGTCTACCAGAGAAGCCTTTCTGTCCCTCAAAGTTAAGAGGTAAGGTCTTCTTACGTCCTTCCCTCCCAGACCCCACTTATGCGATCACTTTTGGAATTGCGCTGGGCCTGTTGTTGTTGTTGCTGTACAAAAAGACTCGGCAGTTAAGTAGACTTGGCACTGCCCTTCTACGAAAGAAGTGAGAGAGAAAATTACAAGTCATCAAAATTCTTTAAGTCGTGGTGCTAGAAAAGTACTGTATTCCATTATCTTGTAAAATTCTCACAACTTAAAATTGGAGAACCGAACAGACTCATAGTGCTGGTATATTTTTGCAAACCTCATTGAAGAAAAGACTCTATGTTAGAATACTATGGAGCATTCTCACAAATTAATTTGGACAAATAATGAAATTCTCCCACATATGATGTCACATGATAGACAACTTTTGGGCCCTGAAGAGCAAGACATGACTTCAAATGACAAGATACTACTTGAGAGATGCATCGCTGCTAAAAAGTAAAAATGTCAAAGACAACTATCGGCCCTGGCAAGTGCAAAACATGACTTCGAATGACAAGATATTACTTCATAGATGCATATCAGATGAAAAATAAAAATGTCATGGCTCCAACAGGTCCTAGTCTTTTTATGAGATTGCCCAAGGGTAATTGTGCAATGAAAGAAACACTGGACCACTACGTCAAAATCACTTCTATCTTAGAACTCAACATACATCTCATACCATGAAGAAGTTGCATTCGTGACATCCACAATTTCATAGCACCTTCAACAACAAAAAATATATATAATATCCAGAAAGCAGATTCTCCAGTTCTGGAACTACAAAGTATCTGCACATAGAGAGCAATATGTACCCTGAAATCAGTTTTTGCACCAGCTCCATCACTACACACATGGAATCAAGTGCTTCATCAAAATTTCGGGATGCTTCATCAAGTGCTTCTTCAGAGTTAAACTTTCATTAGTCCATGTTTTGAGAAAAAGTATCTCCTTGTTTTCCCTGAACTCAAGCTTTACTAAATCCAAGATACTACTTCCAAATCAAAAGAGACCAAATAAGCATGTGAGATGAGCCAAATAAAGAGATTCCCAACTCATCATAACAACCCAAAACAGAAAGCTACTTCACACCTATACTTTTTAGAATAGTACCTATATACCACTTATATTCAGTAACTGCATTTCATACATGTGAGACAGTGAGAGGAGACAATTATTCTGAAAACATCCAATTCTTACTCATAGTTCAAACTCCATCACCGACACTGCCGCTCTAATAGAACACTCATCCTGCAAGGTGCACATAGATTAATAATTACTACACATTGTAGGAGAAAAGCACATTAGATAGTACTGAGCGACTAGAACACTCAAGTGTAATTGAACACCCACCCCCACAAAATAACAAGAAGAACTTGTAATGTTAATCCAAAACAGATATTCAAGTACTTTCCAACATGCAAAAATGACTAGAACAGGTCAATGTAAAAATAGGAATCCAAGTGACCATACCAGGACGTTATCTGTTTAACATGCTCCACAGCATACCAGGTCCTTTTCTGTTTAACATGCTCCACAACAACCGATTTACAATCCTCCCAACTTCTCACCACTTTTGGAGATCAAATCCACTTATATGGAACTGAATCCGTGTATTTTAGCAGAAAAATATATTCCCTTTTAATTCTAATGCTATCAAAGTAGCTACAAGTGCTTGAGGGAAAAGAGGAACAAAGCTGGACCAACAGTTACTCCAACGCAACATCTTGAGGCTGATAACTCTTGGCTGGCAAATTTAGACAACTGGAGCTTAGAAGAACAGAAATACCCCATTCAGAGTTATCTGGAAATTGAACAACTGGAGCTTAAAAAAGAGAAATACCCCCCTCAAATTATCTCGCAAATTCGAACTGGAGCTCAAAGAAAACAGAAATACCCCATTCAATGGCCATATTTAGAAAAGAAATACCATGACAAACAGAAGCCAAACTATCCTAGCTACTTCAAGATGCTAATACCTTCCTCAACTTCAAAAAATGTACACTCACATCTGTAGTGCTGTTTTATAGGTAAGAGATCCAAATGAGCAAATACAACAAAAATGTAAAAAACAGGAGTCTAACATTATCAAAACCATTGTAAAAGACTATAACTGATCGCTTTTCAGAAACTCCTTAATCTCATCCCTTCTCATGCTAGCTGCATGAACCTACCTAACTAATTGGTTGGATAACACGATATCACTGCCAACTAATACTTGTGTTTATGGTAGATAACACATTAAAATTCCACTACTCTAGCACCTGTACTCCATTTAAAGCTTATGGGTAGATAAGGAAAACCAGAAGACTTGGGAGGTAAATGAGCCAATCCCCTAACAACATGGAATATAGAGAGCAACATATACTAGGGAAGGCTCAGAAACTTCTACAGAATAGTGTTCCCGAGGAGAAGATTCAAGAAAAGATGATCTGCTGCAGGTACCAGAGATGAGGTTTACAGCATTGCCTCGGGTAGAACCAGAAAGAGATTGGCATAACCTAAACAGGAAGTCCTTGGTTGCCTCGAGAAACAAACAAAAGTGAGAATCCACAGCAAATTCAAACTTCAAAATAAAATTGCAAAACCCAGAAAGAGATTCCCTGCGCCATAAGCTCATCCTTCAGGTCTCACTTCCACAGCACAGGAGGCCAAGCATTCTGCAGACACTCTTTTCTGCAACTCACAGATCTGCTCATACTCCATACCTACATAGCAAAATCAGAAAACTTACGGATACAACTGCACCAACAAATCCCGACCTACCAAATTCTGTAAATATCCAAAAATCATCAACCGTCTCTGGTAACACAAAACTAGTTGCGTTGATATAAATAACATAAAAGAGTGTACATGACTTGTTACACAAAAGATGAGCCATGTTTTTTACTTGATCTGCTCTAGATTCAATATTTGACTGTTCAAATGGCAATGTTTTATGGCAAAAACAGTGTGCGGTTTTACACAATGGCTAACAGTCTGAAGCAACTCCGTAAATGATTGAATGGAGAGCTGCACTTGATGAATGAAGGCCAAGACAGCAGCACTTTTCAAAACTGTCTAAACTTGGTCTGGGTGGGGCTTCTTAGAAGACCCCCTTTTAACTTGTGCAACTAATCACTCACCAATATAAGAAATCCAAGGAGCAAGGAACAATTTCTGAAATAAGAAATGAATTATAGCTGGTAATAGAACATGACGAGAACGAAGTAAAGAAACCATCAGTGACAGATTTGTGAAGTGACATTGGCTGAACAAATTATCGGTTAAGTGACATTTTAGGAAACATGCAATCAGTGAAGTGACATTTGACTAAACATACATCAAGAACACGGAGAATGACAGAACAACAGTTACCTATAATCAATGGCAATTTCAACGATATCAAGAAAATAGTACAAAGCTCATCTCAGAGGAGTATTTAGAAGAACAAAATTCATAGAAAAAAATTCCCAACTTGCACAATGATCTGATATGTAATGGACTTACAAGGGTATCTCATGAGAAGATCTTCTACACAGAAAACAATAGTTACTTTTGTGATATAAATACATAAAGACTGTACATGACCTGTCACACAAAAGATGAGCCATGTTTTTTTACTTGATCTGTTCTAGATTCAATGAATTGCCCTCTTTGGTGCAAAGACTGTTCAAATGGCAATGCTTAATGGAGAAAAAAGGTGTGCAGGAGCTCCAAGTTTATATTAAAGTTTTACATAATAGCTAACACTCAGAAGCAACTCGTCAAATGATTGAATGTCTGAATATAATGCACATGTTCCAAAAAAAAAAGATAGGGGAGAGATCTTCAAAAAAAAAAAAAGAGGCTTCACTTACCTAACAATAATTAGTCTGACAATAGTAGTGACTATGGTGCAGATGCTGCACCCAATAAATGAACCAGAAATTGAATGAAAATGATCATGTACTGTAACCCACTAACATGTAAAATTTTAATTTTAACGAATTACTAGAAGATCACCACTTTGAAAAGAGTGTGGTGAGAAAAGATAAAATACTGATTAGAGAAGAGAACCAAACTGAAAACCGAACACTTACAGGTGCTTGAACCAAACGAAACCTCAACATAAATCAACAAAGGCTGCTCCACAAAAAGGAGAGATTAGATCTTTAAGAACACAGCTACAAGCACAGAAAGAACAGTTAAATGCAAAGATTTAGAAACCCCCTTTCCCTCAAAGCCCTAACGATATCCAGATTGCAGTGCAAGCACCTAAACGACCAGCTTACTGAACACTAAGCTTTTAAATTTCCAAATCTACTCCTCCAATACACATACACTATGTGGTATATACATCCTTCCAACAGAAAAAACTCAAACTGGTGTGATGAGCAAAAAGAAAATGGAAGCAGAGAAGATAAGCAGCAAGAACACAAAAGGTAGATGATGGAAAATCCAGAACTGAGCGAGTACTTACCAGAGATCCACACCATAAGATAACTCATCAGTTGGATCATCGCAAAACAAAAGCAACTGGACTAAAAGCTGAAAATGCACTTGTGGAGAGAGTTATCATGATTGAAAACTTCCGCTTAACAGCACTTCCGCCAACGAGATAAGGGGATCTCTATGACTAGGGAAGAAAATTTAATCAAAGAGCTAGGTACTAATACAAAGCCTGAACTAAGGAAAACTTCAACGCTTAGACAAACAAGGCTGCTCCATGAAAGGAAGACTTCACTGATCTTGAAAGACCCAACAGCAGCAAGCACAAAAAGAAGGGAACAGATAGAGTTGAAGCTGCGAAACCCATGCAACATAGGAGAGATCACTAGAGGTGCCAGACAAGATTGTGTAACTCCCTTGCCAGTGCCTGGTGATATCCAAATTGCCGTGCAAGCACCAAAATGGCACAGAAACAAGGTGCACAAGGGAAGGACACACACTGAGACCAAACTTTGAAATTACCAAATCTGATCCCCTCATGGTTACCATGTGGTCTACAAACATGCATCCAAACAAACCAAATCAAGTAGCGGGATAAGCATAAGAAAATAGAAACAGAGAAGATAAGTAGCATGAACACCGAAGTAGAAGGAGCTCATCGGGCCATAAGAAGATATAAAATTGAGCTTGGGTACTTCTCAGGTGTCCATAACAATCAGGGATCTCATCATCATTTGGATAAGTCCAAGAAAAAGCATCTAGACTAAAAACTTCATGGCAGCAGAGTACAACACACACTAGTGAAAAATATTATGATTCTTGAGAACTTTTACACAACCGTAGGTTTTGACAAAGAAAAAGGGACCTGCTGATTCGGAAGAAATCTGAGTTGAAGTTCATGCTCTGGAAGACCCAACCATTGCATGCACAAAAAGAACGTAACAGGTAAGTGGAAAATACCATGCAGGAGAGAACACTAGAGATGCCAAACAAGATAATATTGCAAAGTGCCCTGTTCTTGATGCCTGGTGATATCCAATAAACAGATTGCAGTGCAAGCACCAAAATGGCAAGAAACATGGTCCACAGAGGGATGCACACCCAAACCATACTATAAAATCTCCAAACGAAATCAGAGAAGGTAAGTAGCGAGAACACGAGAAGTACAGGGCCATCAAAAGAACATGATTGAGTTTGAATACTCTTATCAAGTGTTGTCCATAACCATGGAGATCTCATCAGTTGGATCACCAAAGAACATAAGCATCTGGATTATTAAAAAAATAATATCACAACAAAATACACACTAGTGAAGCAGTGTTGACAAGAGAGAAGTGAACCATTCTGTTTAGGGAAGAAGATTGAATTGAAGATCTCAATCATTAGAGCATCAAACAATAAACCTCAACACTAAATTGACAGATCATGCCACTCCATGAAAAGAAGAATCTATCGCTCTGTAAGACCCAGCAGCTGCAAGCACAGAAAGAATGGAAGAAGTTCAAGTGCAAATCTGGCAAAGACCATACCACCAAGGAATTCACTACAAATGCCAGACAAAATTGAGAACCGCCTTCTTTCAAAGCATGATAATCTCCAGATTGAAGTGCAAGCACCAATATGGCCAAGAAACAGGATGCAGAGAAATGCACACAGGCCACCAACCTTCAAAATCTTCCAAGTTTATTCCTCTCAACTGTCACGACACATCCACATTCAACAAACAAGAGCAAGCTAGCGTAATACAAGAAAAATGAAGCAGAGAAGATAAGCAGCAAGAACACCAAAAAAGAGGACCATTTTACGAGGTTTTCAAAGATCCAAAATTTAGTACTTCTCAGGGCATCTCCAACCCTACACTCTATTTTACTCTCCAAATATAGAGTTCTTTATTTTTTTCTAGACAACCAACTCCAACCCAATTCTCTATTTACTCTCTAAAAAGGAATCTTTTCTTTTTCCTTCAATATTATATTATTATTTCTATTTCATTCTTATATTCTTATTTCATAGTATAAATCCTTTATTTCTTTTTCCCAATAATTACTTTATATAATTTTCATGTGATATAAAATTTTATTTTATTCTAAATTTTAAATAACATAAATTGCAAGAAAATATTATATAATATACAAATTAATGGACAAATTCAAATAAAAGTGAAATACAATTACATAAACACTCAATTTTCAAAAAATTATTAACCGTTGCTCCCCATAAAATTCTCTATTAATGCATTACGGAGTTCATAATGAGCATTTTTGTCCTTAATTTTTTTTATGTCTAGCTAGAAGTTGTTTAAATCGTAGATTTTCATCTACCACCATTTATGTCGTTAAACAAGTTTAAAATCTTGTCCATATGGCGTCTCTAGTGATTTCTTAGACGGTATGGGTTTCATCAGTTTTGGACTTGATTGTACCCTTCTTTTTGTGCTTGCAGCCATTGGGTCTTACAGAGCAATGAATTATTCTTTTCATGGAGCGGCTCTCTTTGTCAGGTTTCTGTGGTTCAGGCTTTATGAGTTCTGGCATTTTCAACTATACTAGTTTTTTTTCTGTTAGTGTGTGTTGGTATTCTACTGCCATTTTGAGTGTTTAGTCCAGATGCTTATTTTCTTCGATGATCCAATTGATGAAATTCCTGATGGTTGATGGTTATTTATGGTCTCATGGACGACTGAGACCATCTTCAACCCACCTCTATTTTACTCTCCATTCTCTATATTTGGAGAGTAAAATAGAGAATGGGCACTCCAACCCAACTCTATATCACCCTCTATTCTTCATATTTAGAGAGTTGAATAGTAGTTCTCCAAATTTGGAGAACTACTATTCAACTCTCTAAATATGAAGAATAGAGGGTGATATAGAGTTGGGTTGGAGTGCCCATTCTCTATTTTACTCTCCAAATATAGAGAATGGAGAGTAAAATAGAGGTGGGTTGAAGATGGTCTCAGTCGTCCATGAGACCATAAATAACCATCAACCATCAGGAATTTCATCAATTGGATCATCGAAGAAAATAAGCATCTGGACTAAACACTCAAAATGGCAGTAGAATACCAACACACACTAACAGAAAAAAAACTAGTATAGTTGAAAATGCCAGAACTCATAAAGCCTGAACCACAGAAACCTGACAAAGAGAGCCGCTCCATGAAAAGAATAATTCATTGCTCTGTAAGACCCAATGGCTGCAAGCACAAAAAGAAGGGTACAATCAAGTCCAAAACTGATGAAACCCATACCGTCTAAGAAATCACTAGAGACGCCATATGGACAAGATTTTAAACTTGTTGAAGCTCTGACCAATATATCAAAATTGCAGTGCAGGAACCAAAAACACCAAGAGGGTACAGAGATACCATACTGGATATCAACCTTTGAAATCTCCAAAACTTAACCTCTATTACTGTCACCATATAGTCTACACATCCATCCAAACAAAAAAACTAAAGTTGTGATAACCGAAATATCTGTAGCTAGAAGACCACATGTAGAGGAGCATTTATGGCGCTGTCTAAGGAAAATATCCAAAATTGGATGAGCACTTATCAAATGTCCATAGCCATAGGAGACCTTATCAATTAGATCATCGAAGAACATAGTGTCTGCATTAAAAACTTCACGGCAGCAGAATAACAACACACACAAGTGAAAAATATTATCTTAGTCAAGAAACTCCTGAAGAAAACTTAATCGAAAATCATGATACTCATAAAAACTTAAACTGAAAAAAACCTTAACACGAACAGGCAAACACATCCACTCCATGGAAAGAATAATTCATTGCCTTGTAACCATAGCTGCATGAACAGAAAGAAGGGAACGAACAGTTGAGTGCAAATCTGACGAACCCCAAATCACCTATGTAATCACTAGAGATGCCATAGACGAGACTGAAAAGCCCCTTATGTCGAAGCCCGGACAATAACCAGATTGTTGTGCAAGCACCAAAAAGTCCAAAAGATGGAAGAGGATCACATGTTGGTAAACCAAGCTTTGAAATTTCCAAATTTGAACGTCCATAACAGTGTCACCACATGGTCTACAGGGAAGATAAGTAAGTAGCTACAGAACAAAAGTATAAAAGTATTTTATGCCACTATCAAATGAGATCTAGACTTGGACGAGTACTTATCAAGGGTCCATATGCCATAGAAGACCTCATCAATTGGATAATCGAAGAACATAAGCGTCTGGACTAAACTTCATGACAGCAGAATACAACACACACCGGTGAATTACGTTGTCCTAGTTGAGAAACTTCCATACAACACTAGTTTTGATAAGGACAAAGGGCCACTAGGGAAGAAAATTGAATCGAAAACTCCATGCTCATAAAAGACTTGGCAAAAGAAACATCAACGCAAACCAACAAAACACACGGCCGCTCCATGAAAAAAAGAATTCACTGCCCTGGGCAATGGCTGCAAGAACAGAAAGAAGGGAACAGTTCAGAGCAAACCTGACGAACCCCAAACACCTAAGTAATCACTAGAGATGCCATAAATGAGACTGAAAACCCCATTTTGTCAAATCCCCGAAAACATCCAGACTGCAATGCAAGCACCAAAAAGACCAAAAAAGGAAGCAAAGGATCACGTGTTGGTTAACCAAGCTTTGAAATTTCAAAATCTGAACGTCCATAACAGTGTCACCACATGGTCTACACATCCAGACAACCAAAAAAAACTAGTGATATAACGAAAAAAATGAGAGCAGTTTGATAAGTAGCTAAAAGAACAAAAGTTCAGAAGTATTTTCCGCCACTATAGAAAGATCTAGAATTGGTCAAGTCCTTATCAGGCATCCATAGCCATAAGAGAGTAAGAGACCTCATCACCATAAGAGACCTTATCAATTGTAGCACCATAAGAACATAGGCATCTGAATTAAGAACTCCATGGCAGCAAAATACAACACACATTGGTGAAAATAATGTCCTAATTGAGAAACTACCATACAACAATAGTTATGACAAAGACAAATGAGTCAGTAGGGAAGAGAAATTTATCTATACTCATAGAAGACTGACTAACGAAACCTCAACACCTATGGAGGTTTATAAGGTACCTCCATGAAAATAAGAATTCACTGCTTTGTAAGACCCAATGGCTGCAAGCAAAGGAATGAAGGGAAGGGTTACATGCAAAGCTGACAAAACCCTCTCTCGAAGACCTGATAATATTCAGATTGCAATGCAAGCACAAAAAATGGCAAAGAAAAAATATTGGAAAACCCTCTATCGAAGCCTGATGATACTCAGATTGCAGTGCAAGCACAAAAATGGCAAGGAAACAGCATGCACAGGAACGGACACTGAGCATCAACCTTCAAAATTTTCCAAATCTAGTCCTCTTAACTGGCATCCATCCAACAAACAAAATCAAGCTGGGGTGAAGCAAGAAAAAGGAACCAGAGAAGATGACGCAGAGAGAACACCAAAAGAGAGGGTTCAACAGGGACCTACTTGACCGGGCTGTCAAAAGATCTAGGATTGAGTTCCGAGTATTTATCAGGTTTCAATAAGACCATATACCCATCAACCACCAGCAATCTCATCAACTGGATCATCAAGGAACATATGCATCCAGAGTGTGTAGGAAAAACTATCTTAGCTTTTGGCAATTTCCATGCAGCAGCAATTTTTGACAAAGAGAAAAGGGACCACTCTGATTTGGGGAAAAAACTGAAATGAGTACCTCAATACTAACAATTATCTGAACTAAGAAACCTCTACACAAATGGCCAAGCAAAGCCCCTCCATGAAAAAAAAATTCACTGCTCGGTAAGACCCAACTGCAAGCACTAAAAGAAGGGACCAGTTAAGTGCAAAGCTGACAGAACCCGTATCACCTAAGAAATCACTAGAGATGCAAGAGACAAGGACTAAGAACCCCATTTTGGTTGAAGCCTAACAATATCCATCTTGAAGTGCAAGGACCAAGAAGACCAATAAACAAGGTGCACAGGAATGCATACCGATACAATCCTTAGAAGTTCCCCATATCACCTAAGAAATCACTAGAGATGCAAGAGACAAGATCAAGAACCCCCATTTTGATTGAAGCCTAACAATATCCATCTTGGAGTGCAAGGACCAAAAAAACCAATAAACAAGGAGCACATGAATGCATACCGGATACAATCCTTAGAAGTTCCCAAAACTACTACTCTTGTTACTGTCACCATGTGGTCTACACATTCATTCACCAATGAACACAAAACCAGCTGGCGTGATAACAAAGCGAAAACAGCGAGATGATAAGTAGTAGAAGAGCACATTACAGCACTATCAAAGATCCAGCATTGACTTTTGACTTTATCAAGTGCCTATAACACCATAAGACACCAGGATCATCAAAGAACACGAGCATTTGAACTAACAACTAAAACTATCTGGCAGCAGAACACACTATACACACTTGTGAAAAGAATTATCCCAGTTGAGAACTTCCATTTCGTACCAGTTTTGAGCAAAGCTTTGAGAGACTGGACACTCCAAAACCTTTAGTCACAGACCTGGGAACTGCCGCATCTTTCCGACCACAAACACCATAGCAAGACACTTGTTCCTGTAGAACCACTTGCACCTAGATGCCCATCTATGTATTCTTGACCAAACAAAATAACAAGGTAAAAGAAGTTGATGCGAGGAGATCATAATTAGCATTAAAGATGGAAGTCAAGATATCAAATTCAAACTGATAGCTCCACTAGACTAGAAGATCCAAATCCAAGTAGGCAATGCCTGGTGAGCCAAATTTCCAATTCTACTCGTATCTGATCCAACAAAAGGAAATTGCTAGGTTTCAGAGTATGACAAAACACACGAATTCTCAGAACAAAAACAGCAGAATTAGCATTGAGATGCAGGTAACAGTAACAGCAAGCTTCATTACCCATACCTGATCAAACAAACAACAATAACGAATCAATAAATTAGCAAAATACATAACTAATTGCAAACTGAAAAGGTCAAGAACTCCCCAAACCCCTAACGTTCCTTCTCTAAAGAGATGATCAAAGATTTCCATAGATTCAAAAGTAGATAACGTGAGATTTATATAATTCTGAGATAGCAAAGAAATCAAAAACCAAACACATATGCTACTACAGGCACATCAAAAAAGACTTTTTGAATTGCGGAATCATTGCAGAAGCGATCACTCCCCGAAGGAAGGCATCAACTCATCTTTCGAAGAACTCCCCGAAGGAAGGCATCAGCTCATCTTCCGAAGAGAACAATATTCAATAATTACCCATTATCTTTGATCAAACAATAATTATCTATATCTTAATCAACAATAATTACCGATTATCTTGATCAAACAGTAATTACCCATATCTTAATCAACAATAATTACCCATATCTTGATCAAACAATAATTACTCATTATCTTGATCAAACAATAATTACCCATTATCTTGATCAAATAGTAATTACCCACATCTTAATCAAACATTATTACCCTGATCAACAATAATTACCCAGTATCTGTTAGAAAATTGGCATTTTTCCCAGCTTATTATTTTTACTGTTTTTTACTTATTTCAGTTTAGTGCTTCCTATTTTTAAGCTAGACTTAGTCAACTTTAGTTGCTCAACTTTCTGAAGTTAGTGGCCCCTTTAATGGCTGTTAGTGGCCCCTTTTATGGTTGTTAGTGGCTACTAGATAGGAAATGGTTAGGTTTTTCCTTGTATAAATTCAGATCTTATGCAAATTAATACATAGTAGGAATTTCATAAGTTCACTCAATTTTTATTCTTCAAATCAGTTTCTTGAGTATTTTTGTTCTAACA